GTAGTTGGTACAGCCCTTGTGTTGTTGTTCATTAGTTCAGTCGTCTCCGACTCTTCGTGACCTCATGGACCAGCCCACGCCAGAGCTCCCTGTCGGCTGTCACCCCCCCCTTCAGGTCAGTCCAGTCACTTCAAGGATGCCATCCATCCATCTTGCCCTTGGTCGGCCCCTCTTCCTTTTGCCTTCCACTTTCCCCAGCATAATTGTCTTCTCTAGGCTTTGCTGTCTCCTCATGATGTGGCCAAAGGACTTCAACTTTGTCTCTAGTCTCCTTCCCTCCAGTGAGCAGCCGGGCTTTATTTCCTGGAGGATGGACTGGTTGGATCTTCTCGCAGTCCAAGGCACTCTCAGCACTTTCCTCCAACACCACACTCAAAAGCATCTATCTTCCTTCGCTCAGCCTTCCCTAAGGTCCAGCTCTCACATCCGTAGGTTACTACAGGGAATACCATGGCTTTGACTAGGCGGATCTTTGTTGCCAGTCTGATGTCTCTACTCTTTACTATTTTATCGAGATTGGACATTGCTCTCCTCCCAAGAAGTAAGCGTCTTCTGATTTCCTGTCTACAGTCTGCATCTGCAGTAATCTTTGCACCTAGAAATACAAAGTCTGTCACGGACTCCACGGTTTCTCCCTCTATTTTCCAGTTGTCAATCATTCTTGTTGCCATAATCTTGGTTTTTTTGATGTTTAGCTGCAACCCAGCTTTTGCGCTTTCTTCTTTCACCTTGATTAGAAGGCTCCTCAGCTCCTCCTCGCTTTCGGCCATCAGAGTGGTGTCATCTGCATATCTGAGGGTGTTAATGTTTCTTCCAGCAATTTTCACCCCAGCTTTGCATTCATCCAGCCCCGCACATCGCATGATGTGTTCTGCATACAAGTTAAAAAGGTTGGGTGAGAGGATGCAGCCTTGCCGTACGCCTTTCCCAATCTTGAACCAGTCTCCTGTTCCGTGGTCAGTTCTGACTGTTGCTACTTGGTCCTTGTACAGATTCCTCAGGAGAGAGGGAAGGGGGCTTGGGATGCCCATCCCACCAAGAACTTGCCACAATTTATTATGATCCACACAGTCAAAGGCTTTAGAATAGTCAATGAAGCAGAAATAGATGTTTTTCTGAAACTCCCTGCCTTTCTCCATTATCCAGCGGATATTGGCAATCGGGTCTCTGGTTCCTCTGCCTTTTCTAAACCCAGCTTGAACATCTGGCAACTCTCGCTCCATGTATTGCTGGAGTCTTCCTTGCAGGATCTTGAGCATTACCTTACTGGCATGAGAAATAAGGGCCACTGTACGGAAGTTTGAGCAGTCTTTCGCATTTCCCTTTTTTGGTCTGGGGATATAAGTTGATTTTTTCCAGTCTGATGGCCATTCTTGTGTTTTCCATATTTGCTGGCCAATGGCATGCATCACCTTGACAGCATCATCTTTTAAGATTTTAAACAGTTCAGCTGGGATCCCGTCGTCTCCTGCTGCCTTGTTGTTAGCAATGCTTCTTACGGCCCATTCAACCTCACTCCTCAGGATGTCTGGATTCGGCACAGTCTGGTTTCAGACCGGGACATGGAACTGAGACGGTCTTGGTCACCTTAGTGGATGATCTGCGCCGGGAGCTAGACAGGGGGAGTGTGTCCCTGTTGGTGCTCCTGGACCTCTCAGCGGCCTTCGATACCGTCGACCACGGTATCCTTCTGGGAGCGCCTTGCGGGAATGGGCCTTGGTGGCACTGTTCTGCAGTGGCTCCGGTCCTTCCTGAGGTCGTACTCAGAAGGTGTTGCTGGGGAACACCTCACCCCACCATTGTCTTGTGGGGTTCCTCAGGATTCAATAGTCTCCCATGTTGTTTAATATCTACATGAAGCCGCTGGGTGAGATCATCCGGAGTTGCGGGGTGCGGTGTCATCTGTACGCAGATGATGTCCAACTCTGTCACTCCTTTCCCCCTGCTACTAAGGAGGCTGTCGAGGTCCTGAACCGGTGCCTGGCCGCTGTAATGGTCTGGATGAGGGCGAACAAACTGAAATTAAATCCAGACAAGACAGAGGTACTCCTGGTCAGTCGCAAGGCCGAACAGGGTATAGGGTTACAGCCTGTGCTGGATGGGGTCGCACTCCCCTTGAAGGCGCAGGTTCGCAGCTTGGGTGTGATCCTGGATTCATTGTTGAGCCTGGACCCCCAGGTTTCAGCGGTGACCAGGGGAGCATTCGCACAGCTCAGGCTCGTGCGCCAGCTGCGCCCGTACCTTGGGAAGTCTGACTTGGCCACGGTAGTACACGCTCTGGTCACATCCCGCCTTGACTACTGCAACGCTCTCTACGTGGGGCTGCCCTTGAAGACGGCCCGGAAGCTCCAGCTAGTCCAGCGTGCGGCAGCCATGTTACTAACAGGAGCGGGACGCAGGGAGCACACAACGCCCTTGTTGTCCCAGCTCCACTGGCTGCCGATCTGCTACCGGGCCCAATTCAAGGTGCTGGTGTTGGCCTACAAAGCCCTAAACGGTTCCGGCCCAAAATACCTCTCTGACCGCATCTCGGCCTATGAGCCCACGAGGACCTTGAGATCGTCTGGGGAGGCCCTTCTCTCGATCCCGCCTGCCTCACAGGCACGCCTGGCGGGGACGAGGGATAGGGCCTTCTCGGTGGTGGCCCCCCGGCTGTGGAACACCCTTCCTGTAGACATCAGACAGGCGCCCTCCCTTATGACATTCCGCAAGAGACTAAAGACGTGGTTGTTTGAGAAGGCGTTTGACTAAGTGCTACAACAAATTGGCAATGATGAGTGGAACGGAATATGGATAACGAGATTGGATTGTGATTCTATGATGAGACGTCGCAAATGATTTAGTGTAATGGTATTATTAATAGTGATGTTGTTATTGTTGTTTATGATATTGCTTTCATTGTAAATTGTCTTTTTATATGTTGTACACCGCCGTGAGTCGCCCTAGGGCTGAGAACGGCGGTCAACAAATGCAGTAAATAAATAAATAAATAGTAAATAAATTGTCTGGTTCTAATTCATTCACTACACCGTCAAAACTATCCTCAATATTATTATCCTTCCTATACAGATCTTCTGTATAGTCTCGCCACCTTCTCTTGATCTCTTCAGCTTCTGTTAGGTCCCTGCCATCTTTGTTTCTTATCATACCAATTTTTGCCTGAAATTTACCTCCAACGCTTCTAATTTTCTGGAAGAGGTCTCTTGTCCTTCCTATTCTGTTGTCTTCTTCCACTTCCATGCATTGCTTATTTAAAAACAGTTCCTTATCTCTTCTGGCTAACCTCTGGAATTGCGCATTTAACTGGGCATATCTCCCCTTATCCCTGTTTCCTTTTGCTTTCCTCCTTTCTTGGGCTACTTCCAGTGTCTCAGCAGACAACCATTTTGCCTTCTTGGTTTTCTTTTTCTTTGGGACGTACTTTGTTGCCGCCTCCTGAACAATGTCTCGGACTTCTGTCCATAGTTCTTCTGGGACTCTGTTTACTAAATCTAGTCCTTCAAATCTGTTCTTCACTTCCACTGTATATTCGCTAGGAATGTTAGTGAGATCATATCTAACTGGTCTGTGTATTATCCCTGATCTCTTTAGTTTTATTCTAAATTGGGCAATAAGAAGTTCGTGATCTGAGCTACAGTCAGCCCCAGGTCTTGTTTTCACCGACTGGATGGATGTCCGCCACCTTTGGCTGCAAAGGATGTAGTCAATCTGATTTCGGTGCTGACCGTCTGGTGAGGTCCATGTGTAAAGCCGTCTTTTAGGTTGTTGGAAGAGAGTATTCGTTATACACAGCGAGTTTTCCTGGCAAAATTCTATCAGCCTGCGTCCCGCTTCATTTTGTTCTCCCAGACCATGCTTGCCTGTGATCCCAGTTGTCATTTGACTTCCCACCTTGGCATTCCAGTCTCCTGTGATGAAAATAATGTCTCTTTTTGGTGTATTATCCAGTAAGTCCTGCAGATCCTCATAGAACTGATCTACTTCTGCTTCTTCAGCAGCTGTGGTTGGGGCGTATATTTGGATCACTGTAATGTTGAAAGGCTTTCCTTGCACTCGAATTGAGATCATTCTGTCCTTTTTTGGGTTGTATCCAAGCACCGCTTTAGCGAATTTCTTATTAATTATGAAGGCTACTCCATTTCTTCGATGTTCCTCTTGTCCGCAGTAGTAGATCTGGTGGTCATCTGATGTGAAGTGGCCCATTCCAGTCCATTTCAGTTCGCTGACCCCCAGAATGTCTATCTTTAGTCTCGACATCTCACCAATAACAACATCCAATTTGCCCTGGCTCATAGATCTTACATTCCAGGTTCCTATGGTGTGTTGATCTTTAGAGCATCGGATTCGTCGTTCACCTCCAGTACCGTCGGCCGCTAGCCTTCCTTTCGGCTTTGAGCTAGCTGCGTCATCACATCTGGGGCTAGTTGAACTTATCCTCTGCTCCTCCCCAGTAGCATTTTGGCCATCTTCCGACCTGGGAGTCCCATCTTCCCATGGCATACCAACATATCTCTGGTTGTACTGGTCCATTTAGTTTTCTTGGCAAGGATACTGGAGTGGTTTGCCATTGCCTTCCCCAGGGATCACGCTTGGTCTGACCTCTCTGCCACAACCGTCCCGTCTTGGGTGTCCCTTCACGGTTTCACTCATGACATCATTGAGGTGCTCAAGCTCCAGCGCCCCGACAAGGCGGTGATCCTTTGCTGGAGACAGCCCTTGTACAAGCCAAAAAATTGAAACTAATCAGAATAGTCAGTTGTATATATCAATTTTATTTTTATCCCCATCAAAGATCTTGGGACAGATGTACCTACAACCTTGGAGACACACATAGAAAGGAAACGCGTACCTGTCTGGATGGGATTCCAGGATCAGACCCAAAGCCATGGCTTTCACTGACCCATAGTGGCAAGGTTACTTTAGCGGGAGTGAGGACTCCCAAGATTACAGCCCTCTTTCCCAAATGAAACCCTCCAAGGAGCACCAACCCTTTGGCTTACCATTAACCAGTGGAACTTTAGCTGGACATTGGCCGGAGCAAACCCTTCCACATCAGGGCAGGTGAGGTTGACGTTGGTGCTGCTCAGGTACAGGAGGACTTCCTCGGGCTTCACGCCTTGGCTGACACAGGACCCGGGGTCTCTGTTCACCACTTCCAGGGGGAAAGCTACTTTACTGCAGTACGTGGTGTTCCTACAGAAAGGAAAACAGAAATGGAAAGTTGAGACTCATTGATGCATATTTATTTATTCCTTTATCTGAAACATTTCTATTCCGCTCTTCTCACACCGCAGGGGACTCAGGACAGAGTACAACATAGATACAGCATAGACTCTTTAGAGTTAGAATAGATCCCAAGGGTCATCCAGTCCAACCTCCTCCTGCCAGGAAAGAAGTCAGTAGAAAAAGGAAAAACAAGGAGGCGATAGGACCTCTTCGAGGAGAAGATGGGGCAATGCTGACAGGGGATAGGGAAAAGGCAGAACTACTTAATGCCTTCTTTGCCTCGGTCTTCCCACAAAAAGAGAGTCTTCAACCTCAGCAAGATGGAGTGGATGAGGGATTGGAGGACATCCAACCCCAAATTGGGAAAGAAGTCGTCCAGGAATACCTGGCCGCTCTTAATGAGTTCAAGTCCCCAGGGCCAGATCAACTACACCCCAGAGTATTGAAGGAACTAGCGGAAGTCATTTCGGAACCATTGGCAACCATCTTTGAGAGTTCTTGGAGAACGGGAGAAGTTCCAGCAGATTGGAGGAGGGCCAATGTGGTCCCAATCTTCAAGAAGGGAAAAAAGGATGACCCAAACAATGACCAATGTCCGGTCAGCCTCACGTCGATACCGGGCAAGATTCTGGAAAAGATTGTGAAGGAAGCGGTCTGCAAACACTTAGAAACAAATGCAGTCATCGCTAATAGTCAACATGGATTTATCAAAAACAAGTCATGCCAGACTCATCTGATCTCTTTCTTCGATAGAGCTACAAGCTGGGTAGATGCGGGGAATGCCGTGGATGTAGCGTACCTGGATTTCAGTAAGGCCTTCTTTGACAAGGTCCCCCATGACCTTCTGGCAAGGAAACTAGTCCAATGTGGGCTAGGCAAAACTACGGTGAGGTGGATCTGTAATTGGTTAAGTGGACGAACACAGAGAGTGCTCACTAATGCTTCCTCTTCATCTTGGAAAGAAGTGACAAGTGGAGTGCCGCAGGGTTCCGTCCTGGGCCCGGTCCTGTTCTACATCTTTATTAATGACTTAGATGAAGGGTTAGAAGGCAGGATCATCAAGTTTGCAGATGACACCAAATTGGGAGGGATAGCCAATACTCCAGAGGACAGGAGCAGGATTCAAAACGATCTTGACAGATTAGAGAGATGGGCCAAAACTAACAAAATGAAGTTCAACAGTGACAAATGCAAGATACTCCACTTTGGCAGAAAAAATGAAATGCAAAGATACAGAATGGGGGACGCCTGGCTCGAGAGCAGTACGTGTGAAAAAGATCTTGGAGTCCTCGTGGACAACAAGTTAAACATGAGCCAACAATGTGATGTGGCGGGGAAAAAAAGCCAATGGGATTTTGGCCTGCATCAATAGGAGCATAGTGTCTAGATCTAAGGAAGTAATGCTACCCCTCTATTCTGCTTTGGTTAGACCACATCTGGAATATTGTGTCCAATTCTGGGCACCACAATTCAAGAGAGATATTGACAAGCTGGAATGTGTCCAGAGGAGGGCGACTAAAATGATCAAGGGTCTGGAGAACAAGCCCTATGAGGAGCGGCTTAAGGAACTGGGCATGTTTAGCCTGAAGAAGAGAAGGCTGAGAGGAGATATGATAGCCATGTATAAATATGTGAGAGGAAGCCACAGGGAGGAGGGAGCAAGCTTGTTTTCTGCTTCCTTGGAGACTAGGATGCGGAACAATGGCTTCAAACTACAAGAGAGGAGATTCCATCTGAACATGAGGAAGAACTTGCTGACTGTGAGAGCTGTTCAGCAGTGGAACTCTCTGCCCCGGAGTGTGGTGGAGGCTCCTTCTTTGGAAGCTTTTAAACAGAGGCTGGATGGCCATCTGTCAGGGGTGATTTGAATGCAATATTCCTGCTTCTTGGCAGAATGGGGTTGGACTGGATGGCCCATGAGGTCTCTTCCAGCTCTTTGATTCTATGATTCTAAGACACAATCAATTCCTTTCTTGGACTTTAGTGACCAGGTGGGGGGTCCGATCATGCAGAAGAGGAAGTGATCATTACATCCCTTGATAGAATCATAGATTTCTAGAACCTAGATTTTTAGAGCCAAGGAAATACCCTTCTCCAAGTGAGTCCACAATGAAGGAAGTGGAAGTCCATGTTGCATGTTCTTAGGAAGGAACCAGGCATCATCAACATAATCACATTCACTGCCATCACTACCACCACCACTGTCATCATCATTATCATCGTTATCATCATTATCATAATCAACATCATCACCACCATTATCATGACCATCACCACTACCACCATCACTATCACCATCATCATCATCATCATCATCATCATCATCATCATCATCATCATCATCTCCATCTGCATCATCACCACTACCATCATCTCCATTATCATCACCCCATCATCCTCATTACAATGACCATCACCATCATCATCACTGGCAATATCATCATCACCATCATCACCACTACCACCACCACCATCATTGTCAACGTCACCGCCCTGAGCCACTCAGGAGATAGGTCGGGATTAAAATAAAGTATCATCATCACCACCACAACCATCTCCGCCACCATTGCCATCATCATTATTATCAACATCATTACCAACATTATCATGACATCACCACTAGCACTATCTCCCCCATCATCATCTCCATCTGCATTATCATCATCATCACCACTACCATCATCTCCATTACCATCACCCCATCATCCTCATTAAAATTACCATCACCATCATCATCACTGGCAATATCATCATCACCACCACCACCACCATCATTGTCATCATCATAATCGTCACCATCCTGAGTCCACTTGGGAGATAGGGCGTGATAAAAATAAAGTATCATCATCATCACCACCACCACCACCATTGCCACCCTCATCATGATGTTTACCTGAGCATGCAGGTGTAGTTCCCGGTGTCATTGAGGAGTGCAGGGCGGAACCAGAGGGTGTCCTTCTCCTTGCTGATATGGTTGTCCGGGAGGCGGAAGTTGATGGGCTCCTCCAGATCCTGCCCTCGCCCGATCCAGTACCAGATGAGGGTCAGTCCAGCTGAGTGGGCAGTGCTGTAGTTGTACTTCAGGAAGGCCTCGAAGAGTGGGCACTTGATCCTGGCCGGCTCCCCATTGTAGACTGGCTTGTGCTTCATGGTGTCCACCCCCCAGTCATCGCAGCGCTCTGCAAAGGAAGGACAAAGGTGTGAAACCACATTTAGTACTGAAATGGATCACCCGAGGTTCAAGAAGAGGCAGAAATGGATAACCCTTGCTGTATATTTTAGGATTGATCAACTTTTGTATCCATGGACGATAAGTTCCTCATGGAAGCAAGAAACTGTAGGTAATAGTGAACCTTACTGAGATGAATGACTTCTGGTAGAACTTATAGAAAATTCCTAGACTTTATCTTCTCTAGAAATTTGCTAGATCCTCTAGGGTGGTTCTTTGGTAACTTACCATGGAAACAGGAAACCATGAATAACCCTATTGAAATGAATGATTTCCATTACAAGTTAGCAGAGTCTTTTTGTATGGCCTGAACATTCTTAGAATATCTTCTCCATGATTTTGTTAGGTCCTCACAGTTGACTCCATAGAAACTCACAGTGGAAAGAGGACACCATGGATAACAGAGAACCCTACTGAAATGGATGACTTCCACTAGAACTTAACAGAGTTGCCTTGTAGGACCTAGTACATTTCTAGAGGTACCCTCTCCTCTCTAAGAAGTTGTTAAATCCTCCACGGCAGTGGTTCTCAACCTGGGGTCCCAGATGTTTTGGCCTTCAACTCCCAGAAATCCTAACAGCTGGTAACTGGCTGGGATTTCTGGGAGTTGTAGGCCAAAAACATGTGGGGACCCCAGGTTGAGAACCACTGCTCCAGGGGGAATAACAAAGGATCAGAAACCCAACATAGTGAACTGTATTGAAACGAAGGACTTTTATCAGAAATCATTCATAACATTGAATTGGAGGATCTAGAACAGTGGTTCTCAACCTGTGGGTCCCCAGATGTTTTGGCCTACAACTCCCAGAAATCCTAGCCAGTTTACCATTTGTAAGGATTTCTGGGAGTTGAAGGCCAAAACATCTGGGGACCACAGGTTGAGAACTACTGATCTAGAACAGTGGTTCTCAACCTGGGTTCCCCAGATGTTTTCAGCCTTCAACTCCCAGAAATGCTAACAGCTGGTAAACTGGCTGGGATTTCTGGGAGTTGTAGGCCAAAAACATCTGGGAACCCCAGGTTGAGAATCACTGATCTAGAACATCCCTAGAGGTATCCTCCAATGCTAGGTGGCTTCTTCTTTAATACGACACCCTTTCAAATATTTGAACATGACTCTCATGTCATCTCTTAATTTTCTCTTCTCCAAGATAAACACCCCCAGGTTCCTCGGTAGCATCTCAGAGGGATTCATAGTTTCCAGACTTTTGACCATTCCTTTGCATAGGACTGTTTCCAAGCCTATATCTGTGCATAGCATTTTAGTTGTTGAAGTGAAGTGCTATACAGTTCTCCCTGTTGGAATTCATAGAATCATAGATTTTTAAAGTTGGAAGAGACCTGGTGGGCCATCCAGTCCAACCCTATTCCGCCAAGGGTGATTTGAATGCAATATTCCTGCTTCTTGGCAGGGGGTTGGACTGGATGGCCCATGAGGTCTCTTCCAACTCTAGGATTCTATGATTCTATAAGAAGCAGGCAAATCACATTCAAAGCACCACCGACAGATGGACATCCAGCCTTTGTTTAAAAGCCTCCAAAGAAGGAGCCTCCACCACATTCCAGGGCAGAGAATCCGACTACTGAACAGCTCTCTCACACAATTAGAAAGATCTTCCTCTTGTTCACATGGAATCTCCTTTTTTCCTGTAGTTTGAAGCCATTGTTCCATTGCGTCCTGGTCTCCAGGGAAGCAGAAAGGAAGCCTGCTCCCTCCTCCCTATGACTTCCCCTCACATCTTGATCCATGGTCCTCATCATGTCTCTTCTCTGCCTTCTCTTCTGCAGGCTAAACATGCCCAGCTCTCAAAGCCACTCCTCATAGGACTTGTTCTCCAGACCCTTAATCCTTTGAGTCACCCTCCTCTGGACACATTCCAGCTGAGAGTCAACATTACCCTTCAATTGTGGTGCCCAGAATTGGACATAAATATAATAATAATAATAATAAACTTTATTTATACCCCGCTACCATCTCCCCAAGGGACTCGGTGCAGCTTACATGTGGCCGAGCCCAGAATACAACAATACAAGCAATAACAACAGTACAAGCAATTAAAATCAAACAAAAACAATACAGCAATAACATAAGCATTAACAATAGGACAACACACTTTAAAATCTATGTGTAGGCCAAATGTAATTAAAAATTTAAAAAATAATGCTGGACATGGGCGAAAAACTGATGGGGCGTTTGTGGAAACATACAAGCAGACCTAAAACAATATAAAGTGCTTTGGAGGACAAAGCACTTATTTTGGGAAGGCACACTGGAACAGCCACGTCTTCAAGCTCCTCCTAAAGACTGCCAGAGTTGGGGCATGCCTGATGTCCTTAGGAAGTGAGTTCCAGAGTTGAGGGGCCACCACCGAGAAGGCCCTCTCTCTTGTCCCCACCAATCGCACTTGCGATACAGGTGGGAGTGCGAGCAGGGCCTCTCCAGATGATCGAAGAGATCGTGTGGGTTCGTATACAGAAATGCGGTCATGCAGGTAGGCGGGTCCCAAACCGTTCAGGGCTTTGTAGGTGAGAACCTGCACCTTGAATTGGGTCCGGAAAATGAATGGCAGCCAATGGAGCTCCTTGAACAGGAGGGATGACCGCTCCCTGTAAGGAGCCCCAGTTAACAACCTGGCTGCCGCCCATTGGACCATCTGGAGTTTCCGAGCCATTTTCAAGGGCAGCCCCACGTAGAGTGCATTACAGTAATCCAGTCTAGAGGTGACTAAGGTGTGGACCACCCTGGCCAGATCCGCCTTCACGAGGGACAGTCGCAGTTGGCGCATGAGTCTTAATTGTGCAAAGACCCTCCCGGCCACCACTGACACCTGAGTCTCAAACGTAAGTGAAGAATCCAGGAGGACACAGTATGCCAGGTATGATCTGACTAATTCATTGTGTTAGTCTTGGCCCAGCTTTCAAAAATGACCTTTTAAGGTCACTTTGGATTCTGATCCTGTCCTGTGAGGTGTTTAACCACTTTGAAAAATAAAAAAGGAATAAAGGTTTGGCAAAGATGGTCTGTGCATTTTTTAAAAGAAATTGTCCACAAATCCACAAGAAGGACAAAGAGATTGAATAGTTGGAAACGGCTGTGGCCTGAAGCCAAGGAAAAGTCCAGCACAATTTTTCCTTAAGCAAAGGAGAAAGAGGGAGAGATGATTTAAGCCTGGTGGACCAATGCCCAGGAAGGAAGGAAGGAAGGAAGGAAGGGAAGGAAGAAGGAAGGGAATGCAATGGACAGATTAAGATGAGAACCCCCTAAACAGACACCACCTATTCTTTATGGATTTCTTGAGCAATAAGTCAACTAAACTTCTAATACTTTGTGGTTATGGCTGCAGCCTGAACATCCTTTCTCTAAAATGCTTGGGATCAGAAACATCTTGGGTATTTTTCAGATTTAGGAATATTGTATAAACACAATGAGACACCTTAGTGACAGGACCCAAGTCTGGATACAAAATTCACATCTATACCTTGTGCACAGAGCCCAAAGATAAAGCTATATACAATACTAGCTGTACCCGCCACACATTGCTGTGGCCAACGTTCCTTCCCTCTTTCTCTCCTTCCTGCTTTCACCCCTTCCTTCCTTCCTTCCTTCCTTCCTTCCTTCCTTCCTTCCTTCCTTCCTTCCTTCCTTCCTTCCTTCCTCCTTCCTTCCTTCCTTCCTTCCTTCCTTCTCTCCTTTTTCCTTCTCCATTTCCCTCCTCTTCCTTCCCTCTTTTTCTTTCCCTTCTTCTTTCTTCCTTCTCTACCTGTTTCTTTTCTTGCTTCCTTTGCTCTTTGGTTCCATCCTTCCTTGTCTCTTTCCTTCCTTCCCTCCCTCCTTCCCTTTCTCTTTCATTCCTTCTCTCCTTCCTTCCCTCTTTCACTTTTTTATTTCCTTCTCTCCTTCCTTTCTTATCTTCCTTTCTTTCTTTTCTTCTCTCTTTCCTTACTTCCCTCTTTCACTTTTTTATTTCCTTCTCTCCTTCTGTCCTTCCTTCCTTTTCCCTTTTTTCTTTCCTTCTCTCCTTCTTTCTCTACCTCTTTCTTTCCTTCGCCTCCTTTTTTCTTTCTCTCCTTTCTTCCTTCTCTACCTGTTTCTTTTCTCGCTTCCTTTGCTCTTTGGTTCCATCATTCCTTGTCTCTTTCCTTCCTTCCTTCCTTTCCTCCATCATTCTCTCTTTCATTCCTTCCTTCCTTCTTTCACTTTTTTATTTCCTTCCCTCCTTCCTTTCTTATCTACCTTTCCTTCTTTCCTTCTCTCTTTCCTTACTTCTTTCCCTCTTTCTCTCCTACCTTCTCTCCTTCTGTCCTTCCTTCTTCCTTCCTTCCTTCCTTCCTTCCTTCCTTCCTTCTTTCCTTCCTTCCTTCCTTCCTTCTTTCCTTCCTTCTTTCCTTCTTTCCTTCCTTCTCTACCTTTTTCTTTCCTTCGCCTCCTTTTTTCTTTCTCTCCTTTCTTCCTTCTCTACCTGTTTCTTTTCTTGCTTCCTTTGCTCTTTGGTTCCATCCTTCCTTGTCTCTTTCCTTCCTTTCTTCCTTCCTTCCTTCCTTCCTTCCTTCCTTCCTTCCTTCCTTCCTTCCTTCTTTTCCCTTTTTTTCTTTCCTTCTCTCCTTCCTTCTCTACCTCTTTCTTTCCTTCGCCTCCTTTTTTCTTTCTCTCCTTTCTTCCTTTTCTACCTGTTTCTTTTCTTGCTTCCTTTGCTCTTTGGTTCCATCATTCCTTGTCTCCTTCCTTCCTTCCTTCCTTCCTTCCTTCCTCCTTCC